TTTCACTCCCCCGGCGGGGCCGTCCGGTCCCGGGCTGCGCTGGGCTCCCTGGGGACGGACGCTGATCTCCCGGCCGGGCGGCCGCCTCCCCGCCCCGCGGCCTGGCTGCGTCGGTTGCTGCCTGTTGCTTCCAGGAGGATCCCAAACTCTGGCTCTTCATCGAGCCCAGGCACCTCCGTTTGGTTCATGTACCGTAACCTCGGCGGCCCTCTCGGTTGCTCTTTTTCCCCCATCCTGTTGGCAAGGCCATGTTTGTTTCACTTAACGCATCTGCAGAAGGTAATTTTTAAGGGCTGCTTGTGTCAGTCAGGGCGAGAATTAAGTGTAAACAAACAGACTCTGCTAAGTCGGTTTAAAAACACGCATCAGCAAAAATGAAGTGAAAATCGAACAGGTAGAAGCAGACTTTGTGGTTTTGGTCTGGGTAGTTTTGCTTGTTCAAGGCATTTGGGGGGAGAGGAAGAGAAGGAGAAAAAAATACTCAGGAGAGGTTTCTGAGATTTTTGGCTACTTTATTAGAAAATGTGTAACTGCGTGGACTTCTCCATTGCTGATTAAATTATAGAAACATTGTATTATTTTTTAAAGGCCTCTACTTAACATTAAAAGGTCAAGGACCTGAGCAAACTTAGTTTTGTGTACAAAGTAAACAAATTAACAAATGGAGCTTGGCATAGGTGTTTCCTTTCATTTTCCAAATCTGTGTGCAGACAGCTTTTAGTAGCATACACCGAATGCAACTCTCCTTTTTTTCAGTCCTTGCGCAGCATATTTTTGAAGTGCTATGTTTGTCTGGTAAGCGTAACGCTCCGTTTCTGTCTGAATCCTAATGAGAGAGGAACTCCAGAAGTATATCGAGCATCCTCTTCGGGGGCTGTTTAGCCTCTGGCTGCGCTGCCTTTACGCCGGCCTCCAGCCTGTGCTGTGTCCCCCAGCCAGTGCATCCATGTGCCTGATGCTGACGGAGCGTCAGCCGCGGAGCGGGGATGAACCAGCCGTTTGTAGTTAATTCAGCCAGTGACATTCTTGTGATGGGCTCGCTAAGGCAGCGTCAGCATTTCTTTTATAAACCGTGGTTTCCCAGGACCTGCCGCGCGTTTCTGGGCTTGGAGAATTTGCCTATTACAAGAGCCTAAAATGCGAGTTTTGTCCTCTGAGCAGATAGTTCAAATTAAGATTAGAAGCCAAATTATGTTGGCAATAACTATAAAACTGTTAAGGATTGTTAACAAAGATTGCATTAGCTTAACTCTTGTGTTTTGTCTGATTCCTGGTTTTGCATACAATGGCCAATGATTCACTCAGCTTCCCGAGAGCTGCGCTTCTCCACTCTTGAGAAGGGGGTGGGGTGGGGTGAGATTTGAGGCAGCTTTATCTCCAAATACCATTTTTTCTGGCTCTCAAGGTTAGTGGGAACATCTGTGGCTGTCAGTGTGTTTTAAAATGAACAGAAAAGTTAGTATTGTAGTCACTGGCTTTTATTAATTACTCTCTTTAGTCATCCTAAATCTTTATTTTCACATGCAGTATTCCACTTGCTTCTATTTTGAGCACAAAATACTTCTCGTTGCATTTGAGAATGTGTCTTGCACAGGGAAGGTGGGTAAAGATCAAACATGATTACACAGACTAATCATGTGATATGTGAGAAGAAAAAGGTTGCAAGTGATTGATCTTTCTCGTATGGTTTTTTTTCCCCAAAGCTGCAATAAAATACAGGCAGTGTGTGCGTGCTCAGAAAAAGTCACGCCCCAGCTGCTTTCCGGCGTGCCTGCCAGTGTAACAACACTTTTGCTCTTGCGTTTCTTATGCTGCTCGGACTGAGACACCTGGCACAACCACCTGTAATGACAGCATTGCGCTGTAGCGTTTTCCAAACTTCTTTCAGGACTCGCTGTGTATTTGTAAAACAGTAAGTGTGCTCTATGTGAGTTGTGAAGTTAAAAAAAATATCAAAGTGTCAAAAGACTGTAGAGAGCTAAGAATCCTAAAGAATGCTGGCTTATTTGTCATAAAACAGCTTTGCAAAGTACATTGTAAAGCTGCTGAACTCTGCTACAAATTCCACTTTTCACCCACCCAAAGATGCTAATGATGAAAACGAGGAAAGTAGAATGTTGTGTGTTTAAATTGAACTCTACTGGTTATTATTAAGTTGTTTATAAAGCCAGAGGAATACAAACAGAAAATATGTTCTTTTCAGTTAATCGATTTGCATTCAGTCAGTCACCTCAGTGTCTTGGCTGTGTGCTGCCTCCTTGTTTTCCATGGTTTTTAACATTATACTTAGTGGTTTTATATTTTAGGGGATAGAGGATATAGGTTTATTTTGCATGCCAAGCTTTCTGGCTTTGCTGTTCAAGGTAGCTTCTTTAATTGTAATATTCTTCAGTAATTTAGTTACTATCTGGTGCATTTGTCATCAGATATACTGTATCTTTGTAGAACTGTTATAGGAACTGCAGCTGAAGGGCAAAAGCTGAGAAAGATATGAACGGGGGAAAAAAAAAAAAATCTCTTTTCCTCTCTAGTTCGCATACCTGTTCTCTTTTCTGCCCTGAAAACCCCAAACTTAAGTATATTGTGTGTTGTATTCTCCTCTAAAGTCTGCTTTTGACATAAAGGTAATTGCTATTTTAAACAGTCCAAGAAGTTCACAGCTGAAACACTGATTTTTCTGCTCACCCTCTGGCTTTTTGTGTGGCTGTGGATGTTCTAAACACTGGAAAACGGGCGTCCCTTGGAGTGAGAGCAGCCATAGTTACAGGTGCCTTGCTTCATTTGCTGCACGTGTCTCAGGGTGGCATTCAAACCTCAGTCTCTTACAGTAATGTAAAATGGAAGGGTTTCTGGTTTTCTTTTTTTGTATACTGTTTGCTTTAAGCTCTCTTAAATTCATTCTGGCAGTACCTAAAAGGAAAATTTTTATCACAAGTTGCTGGTCAGGTGCTGTATACTTGGGAGAGGATAGGAAAGTAAAGGATAAATATTTTATGAATCTATGCAACTAATCTTGAACTTTGATAGGCTTGTTTTCCAGTTGTTTGAGATTTTAGCACGGCAAATGGTGTCTTTGCTGTACCTTTGCATGTTAGCTTGAGTAGGGAGAGGAAAGTAGGTTGCTACTGTGGTTTGGTTGCTCTAAAGATAAACAAGAACATTTTTTAAAAGAGCGTTTGAGTCTTGGACTCGCATTGTGTACCAACAGCAAGTGGAGAGTGAAGGTGAATTGAAAGCGGTGACTCAAGAGCCAGCCCTGTTGCCTTCCGCATTTTGCAGCTTTTTCCAATGGTCTTTTGTGTGAGGAGAGGCCAGGATTCCCATTTAATTACACAGGTGAGCAAAGAAATAAGTCGTTAAAAATTTGCCTCTTAGTATGCGTTTTACCTAGACACTCTGTCTCCTGTAGAGGTGTAAAGACACCTCCAGGCAAATACTACATTACTGTGGTGTAGTTTTGTGTCAGGAACTATGCTGAATTTGTAAGCTCATGTTTTATTTATGTTGAAACAAACCAAAGTCTCTTTCCTTGTAAGGGATGAGACATTGGCTTCTTCTGAGAAACTGATATTAAAACTTGAGATCTGCTCTTGGCTGGGGTCTTTTCTCCTATTTCCCTAAACCGTGAGAACAGAAAGCTTC